TCCTCTCTCTCTCTCTCTCTCTCTCTCTCTTCCTCTCTCTCTCTCTCTTTCTCTCTCTCTCTCTCTTTCTCTTTCGGTGTTTTCACTATCACTTACGATCGTTCTTTCGTGAACACTCAAGTGGCGCGACTTGTGGATCGCAATCTCTTGGCACACGGATTAACCCTCGGACGCGCCTTCCTCGTTTCGCGAAGCGCGCCACTCTCGTCTCCGCGCTCCGTCACTCGCGACGAGATCACAACCGGGAAGTCTTGACTTTCAATCGTCTCGCGGTCAAACGGAGACGCGGAATGTAGCCTCGCGAGAATTCTCGCGAAAACGCCGGCGGCGTCTCGCGCGAACTTTCCCTGTTCACGTCTTCCCCGAGCTTCCCGCTCGGCGTCGAGTTTCGTTCGCGATTCCCGCTGCGTTTTCGGTGGCACCGGGATGACACTCGGACGGGGGATACACGGGGGTGTCGATGGAGGAGGGAGACGGCGGCGAGGTTCTCTTCTGGAAGTTGTGCGTCCTTCTCGTGTCGCGTCTCCCTTACAGAAGAGCCGAAGCCTCCTGATCGCCGGCGGTGTCCTGCCGCGAGCTCCGCTTCCGCAGGAACCTTCCTCTCGCGATGGACATCTTTCCCGTCTGCTTCTGTTACCTCTCACGGTCTGCTCCTCTCTCCGGCGCTTTTCTCTCGCTCTCGCTCTCACACTCTCTCTCGCTCTTCTCGCGGGGACACTCGGTCAGCACCCGCGGTACACCGCTACGCGCTCGGGAGTGGCGGCTCTCGCGTCTAGCCCGGCCGTTTCAGCGCGCAGGCGCAATTCCTTCCTTCCTGCCTGTTTGCCTGCCTGCCTGCTGCCTACCTGTCTACCCACCCTCGGCGCTTTTCTCCCTCTTTCCTCCATTTACCCTCTCTCTCAGCTTCTCGCACCCACCCTAACCTGCTTGCCTCGAGCCGACGACTGCCGTCGTGCCTGCACTCGCTGTCACCCTGACTGCCTGATTGTTTCATGAACTTAGCAGTTTTCGTCACCCTGCCTCCCACCATCCCTCTCGTTAAATCTCGCTGCTGCGTGTATATATTGATGCGCAGCGAAAGAAGATCGCGGTTTCCAAACTGTTTTTAAGAAATTGGAACCATATCACGGAATGTTGATGATTTTGTATGACAATTGAGATCGTAATAGAACGTGTTCTGAAATTTCGTAAAGTCATGTAACTAGCGCGACTAAGTATGCGCAATCTACTGCGGATCTTAATTGAAATAATGACCATTGTGATGTTTCAAGTGTGACGGTGTACTACTGAGATACATCGGCGGGACTAAGATACTTGAACCGTGTGATTGCCTATGCCTGTTGTCATTCAGTCTGATTGTGTCGTAAACTTGATTTTCATCTCCTTTTATCTGTTGCTCTTTCATTTGATCTTGCTAATGTCTGCGTGTATATTTACGTGCTATAAGAACGTATTATATTCACCATCATCTCTCTTGTAGCGGATCGGGATCGCATTACGGGAGCGTAAATTCCTTCGCAATTGAGATGTTACTATCGTAGAGTGCTGCTTTCAATAGCTGATAGGATTACATAATTGTTACACGTTAAGCGAGTACGTGCATACCAATTGAGACGATGACTGAAATTTGGAGTGCTGTAATATACAGACGAATTGTTGCTCTAATTCCATGGATTTAATCGCGTGGGCGATTATGCTCTCTTTCGTGCTTAAACAATCGCACGAAAGATTGAATTGATCCTCTACGTTTCGTATTCTCCGATTAACCCGCCCACACCTGTTCGCACGAAACGACGACGATTATCGTCGGCTGTCCGCACCGTCGATTATTCCGACGATTTAACCGCTCGATTTTTATTATTCCACGGTTAATTAAGTCGTCGTGTTTAGGCTGCGAAAAACGCATCCCCTTTCACGTTCCGCATTATTGCATTCCGCATCAAATGGCCGTGCTTTTATCGCATCATTCGTTTTTTATTTATTTTCTCGCGTAACCACGTTATCCATTCAACCTTACTTTACACACTTACTTTACACACTTTTTCCATCTATTGCAGCTTACTTCTCCGGCATAGAATTCAATTTGGAGCTATCAAGAAGCGTATCGATACTCGTTGCTCTCCCGATTGCGTGCGGTTTCGTGTCGGAACGCGTTCGGATGTGAAAGGGCGAGGGTGCACGCCAGCGATGTATAAAAGAGCGAAAAGAAATGCAACAAAGACATTCCATTTGCCGATGTGCGCGGCAGCGTTGCTTCGTGAAAAATATCCGGCCGCAAGTATTCAAGAATACGTGCGCGTACTCTGCTCACGCTTTGAAGCATGACGACTACGACGCACATCAAAAGGCACATGATGATACTTTCGCGATAGAGATACGTACGTAATGGCAATGCGTATATACGTGCGTGCTACGCCGATCCTCGCGTCCGTTAGAGCGGATATAACGCGGATCATAACGTGGCGACGAACATACATCCTTTCCGCTTGCGCGACTTTGAATCAAACTCTCGAGTTGCGGGGTAAACTTTGTATACGCAGTTCAAATGCGAGTTTGCGTTCTCCATCGAGTTGAGAGATGCGTAAGTATATGAGCTGTCTTACGAGCTGCACACTTCTGGATCACGTTTCGTGCAGACTGAAGTCTATTTTAGACAATCTATAATTTGCGACAGAATTCGGAATAGAGTTTTTTATTGGTTTGTTCGGAGTTTGTGCCGTTTTTCAATTTTAGGTTTTATTCGTATGAATATAAATGTTTAGAAGTAACTTCTGGTAAGATGGAATTTTTAAATAACCAGAAAAATTGCGAAAGTTTGCCGAACAGAACGACGAACATAATTTAATAAATACAGATTTATATATAAAAATGTTTATTTTACTTTTACAAGAAAAATCGGTAGAAATTTTCCGAATAATGCAATATTTGTAATTTTATATACTGTGTAATACAGGTAACATTTTTCGGAAATGAAATTACACACATGTACAATATCTATATTAGTGATATGTACTTTATGTGCATATCTCGATTGTTTAAATGGTTTCTATTATATGAAATTATAGATTTCAATCTCGAATTCTAAAAATTATAGATCTAAGGCAAGCTTAAGCTCAGTGGTTTTGTAAATAACATAGTATTACAAAGACTTGAGAATGCTTTGAGAATGTTTAAAGAAATAGTTTTGAAAGTGCAAAATCTTATATTGACTTAAGAATATATTTAATGTTGAATATCAAACAAAATAGTCTTTGATTGAATGTTTATATAGAAAGAATTGACTTGAAATGCTTCAAAATATTATTAACTTATAACATAAAGTTTACGATTTCTCGAACATTCTGTATAGGGTATCAAGGCACCCACGTAAATGGTGAGTCGGTGAGGGCGAATTTTATGCGCTTTAATCTAACGTCTAGACTTACCCCCAGGAGGGGTGGGGTGGCGGCGGAAGGCGTTTACGTTGGCGTATTTTTCATCACTTTTACGTAATTTGTATATTCCATCTACTTCGAATTTGTGATCATAATTTGATTGCCGATACGAAATCTCCATTAATCCGAGGAACTTTTATTGCATTCTCTAATTTACATAATTCTAACTTTATACGCGCATAAAATTTATCTCTATAAATGTATGATTTTACGGGTAATGATGTATCACAAATACATTTAGAAATATTTATGAAAATTGTGAAAAGATATTCTTGTGAATTTATTTTGCGTTATTTAAATCATCATTAATCTTTCACTGATGTACGCCCACGCGTGTATTAAAATATACATTATTTTACGTTATATTTAACTTGCTTTAACAATACGATTTATTTTGCAATTAACAATATTATTCATTTTATGTATGTTTTACTTAATAATGCATTATTAAGTAAATTATTTTTCTTTTACGCAAACGTAAAAAAACGTATGAAATGTGTAAAGTTATCTTTTTTTTATGGGCTACTATAAAATATTGCATGATACGACCCAATCGTTTGATATACAAGTATCGGTACCTTCCATATACATATATGCATAAATCTTTCTCTCTTTATATGCCAAACGTGGAAAATTTGATTGGATTTTATTTTAGTTGCGTTCGCGTCCTTTTGCTTCATTTTATCGCTTCAGCTTTCGTTCCTCGTTTCGTTTCGCAGAGTATTGCTCTTTCATATTTTCAATATTTAGCTACAATCCGGCAGTTTCAACAGTAATCGTACAACCAACCAGGATTTTTTAATCTCTTTGCCCGTCGCATCTCGCTCTAAAATTGTACATTCGAATGACTTTATTTCCCAGATTCAGAAAACTATATTTCAGACAATACTGCGATTACAGGAAAAGTAAGCAAAAAATGGATATAAAATGTCTACAGTCATAAAATTTCAGTTTAATTTAAAGATGATATATTTACCTTACACAAAAATAATTTAAAAATTTTTTTAATTTAGAAAAATAAATAGAATTAGTAAAATTTTAGTAGAAATAATAATTTTATTAATTATTTAATATTATTATTCTATTAATCCTATTAATTATTTAATGATTTTTATCCTATTAAAATAAGGAGGAATATAGAATAGGAATAGATTTATATAATTTGAGTAATATTTGTATATCGTTATGCTATCGTTTGTTACGACTTGGGTTTCTAATCTTTTTCTCCTTCTCTCTCTCTCTCTCTCTCTCTCTCTCTCTCTCTCTCTCTCTCTCTCTCTCTCTCTCTCTCCCTGCCTTTGTTTCTTCCATGGTCAGTAAC